CCAGAAAGGTGACAAACATTAATTATAACAACAGAAATGTGGCTCAAGGATACAGTAATATTGATCTTTCAGAGCAGATGAAAGATGACTCATAGGTAGACTTTCTGGGGTAGTGTGCTTTAATCATAGCTTAAAAACTGCAGGACATTATGATAAGCACTTGTTAGGAAATGAAGTAGAATACAATAGAAAATACAATAATGTATCATAAACAGTAAATGCACCACACAGTATTGTTTGTAAAATTTTCACTGTAGATATTTTATATACATGTGTGTTTGTATATGTAAACTACCTTGCAATATAAATGTATTGTGTTCTGTGATTCACAGTTTACAAAACTTGAAAATCACTGTTCAAGAAGCAATAATGTATCAACTTTTAAAAAAGATGAGACCGCAATCTTGATAGAAGATAAATCACAAATCAACAGGAAAATAATTTTTGTTTAGTAATTGGATGTTGGGAAAATAGGCTCACAATAGAAAAAGAAATACAGCTGGATATATAGATAGATTAAAGACCTACATGTGAAAGGTTATACCATAAACCTAATTACAGAAACTGAAGGAAAATATTTATCAGTTTTAAGATACCTATTTTCTCTTCTTCATAGTTTTTACTTTCTCCCAAATTTCTCAAAATCGTGCTTTTCATTCCTTAACCATACTTAATTTTAGCTATGACTAATAATTCCCTGGAAGTGTATTTCTATTGCATTTTTTTTCTCTTACATTTTCAGACACATCTGATCCTCTAGTATGGTTCATTAAGACTGATTTGAGTGCCAGACATTGTACGTACATTTTATGTATTTATTTTTTTTAAGTCTTGGCCAAGCCCTCTATACTTTAAGTCATAGTTAACTAATATTGGTTTTTCATACTCCTTCAAAAGGGGTGGCGAGGGTAAGTGTTGCTCTTGTCTAAATTGTGTTTGTGACTGATGAACTGGAGGAAAAAGAAGCATTCCTTCATTCAACCCCAACTAATATGAATACTGAAAAACACCTACTATAATGAAGCTTGGCTAGACTCTTGCTAATAACAGAGAGCTAGCAGGATGTGAGAGATTAAAATACTTTTGGAAGCAAAGAAGTATACTTACAGAAGTAATAAAGTAGAGAAAAATATAAACTTTGAGTCTAAAATGGATGATACTGAAGAGAAGCATGATAAATTCTCCTTGATGGATTTTTTAAAGAAAGGAATAGTATCACCTAAGTTTCAAGGTGAAATAGGGTCTCAAAAGTGATGACATGATTAAACATGAAAGTCTGCATACAGAGCAATTAAATCCCTATGTCCTTCCCCAAACCCAGAATAGTCAGACTGCTACCCTCCCATCTGTGAAACAAAGGAAATTTATTCTCTACAGATAAACAAACTTAAGGGTCTCAGGCTCTGAAAATATGTACCAGGCACAGTATGTGTCAAGAAGAAAGAAGGAACAAGATTTAGGACAACAAATAGGCGGCAATAAATAAAAACTTGCAAAGTGACTCCTACCCCACAATTCCCACTGTCTTTCTCCAGACCTGCTTTTGGAAAGCCAGCATCCACCCTTATACCACAAAGAATCACAATCCAGTGTAAATTTGAAGTAGAAAAATTTTTCAGTGGGCGATGTCTCCAAGGGAAAAAAAAAAGGAACTGAATGTTTGAGCATACAGAAAATGTGCCTAAGGCACTTGACTGCTAACCAGAAGGCTGGCGGTTCAAACTCACCAGCCACTCCTTGGAAGGAAGATGGGGCAATCTACTTCTGTAGTAATACTGCCTCAGAAACCCAAGGAGGGGTTGCTATGAGTCGGGACCGACTCAACCGCACATAACAACAACAACATAACAAAGATGTTGAAACATTTGGAAATTTTTAAGGGTAAGTAGGTTGGGCAATCCTACTTCTGTAGTGATACTGCCTCGGAAACCCAAGGAGGGGTCGCTATGAATTGGGGCTGACTCGACGGCAAATAACAACAACAACATGTAGAAAATAAGAAGAGGGGGAAAAAAAAGGAAGAAGCTGACAACTCCAAGAAAACAAAAGATTATAGGGGGCCAATCCTAGTGAATCCCTAGCTTACTAGGGATTAATATTTACAAAGTCATAGAAAATGCACACACTGCTCACTGACTTTGTATATGTCATACAACTATGTTGGAAGATGATGGGAAAAGGCAACTCTGGGTGAGTGAAAAGGGAGAGCTAAATTCTCAACTATCTCTATAAAAAAGCATGCTGTTAAGAAAAATGAGCATAAACTGTGGCAGAAACAGCTAGAACTGGTCGCAGTTGCTTTTAAGAAGCAAAACTGTGGTAGACATGCGTGCAGCAGAAGACTGATGACTTTCACTGTAAGACTTGGATTTCTGGGTTTCATTTGGAACTATGTACTTCTGTTTCTGGTTGAAAATTTTTAAATTAAAGAAATAAGAGCAAGTAATGTGAATAAACATAACAAATAATATCCTAATATTTTTCAAATTTTTTAAACTTCCAAATTTTTTTTCAATATCCTCACTTAATAGTTTAGATATTCTATGCTTCATTTTGGAGTAAGTACTGGAGTACTAAATGAAAAGTTGGCAGTTCAAACCCACCCAGAAACACCTTGGAAGGAAGGTGTAGCCATCTGCTTCTGAAAAGCCACAGCCTTGAAAACCCCATGGAGCAGTTCTATTCTGTACACATGGAGTTTGCCATGAGTCAGGATCGACTTGACAGCAGCTAACAAACACAATAACATACATCATTTGGGTGACAGAAGCATCTGAAGTCTTCTACTACACCAAAACTCAAATATATTCCTTTTTGGCTTATTCATTCACTCATTCATTGCTTACTTAATTGAGCTCCTTTAATGTACTATACACTATACTATATGCTGGTTATAAAACAGTAATCCAGAAGATGTGCTCTCTGTCCTCAGGGCACTTGTATTTTAGTAAACCTGGAATTACATGAAGGAGCTCTGGCGGTGCTTGATTAAGGCACTGGGCTGCTAACGAAAAGGTCAGTGGTTCAAACCTACCAGCCACAAGATGGGAGAAAGATGAGGCAGTCTGCTTCTGCAAAGATTCACAGCCTTGGAAACCCTAAAGCCTTACTGTAAGTCAGAATCGACTCAATGGCTATGGGTTGTTTTTATTTTATTTTTAGAATTACATGATTTATGAGTAAGGTCACTACATAATTTTGTCATCCAATCCAAAAACCTGGTGAGTATGAAAGAGTTCTTTAAGACTAACAGGTCCAACTGATCTACAATAGGAGTAAACTGGGCCTGTGTCAGGCAAACCAGAAGTATGACCATCTCATCTCACTTTTGAACACTAACCTATACCCAACTCTGACTTAATATCTTCTTTACAATGTTTCACTGAACTTGCAGGAAAGTGCAGCAAAATGTTTTCTTTCTATCCTGACAACAATGCTCAACAGCAGGGAAAAGAAAGGAATTAAATCCAATTAAGAGAAAATCATAGGTAGTCCTCTACTATTAAAATTCTATATTGGTGACTAAGGAATAAGGAAAGTTGAGGGTTGCAATTCCCAATCTAGTTCATAAGACAGAGACGTATACTAAACACCTGACTACATTTAAAGTACCTAACTTCAAAGAAACATAACCCCAATCAACTTTCCACTGCTATCTTGTCCACCAAATAAGATCCAAATAAAGAACCTTACCTGAATAACAGCACTAAACCAGCAAGTATTGCCAACATTCTTTAGACCAACAGGAGTTTTGTCCTGCCTTTTTCTATCATAAGGATTTCGAGAATCTCGCCAAACTTCTGTAGGTGTCCTCTTCAAACATGCTTTATTTTCTGCTATGCTGGCTTCAAGAACTCTTAAGCAATACAGAAAAAAAAATGATGAAAAAAGTGCTATTAATTTAAGGCTATACTTTAAACAGTAATACACCATAAACCTAAGGATTTTGATTACTTAAGCTCTGGACGATCTATTTGGAAGTAATAGTTAACAGTAACTTTACTCAAATAAACACTAGTTTTCTGTAAGACTAAAGCAATTGAAAAATGCAAAAGACCAAGAGAAGTCTTTTTTTCATAAGAAAAAAGACATTTCAAACACTCACAAAAAAGGCTATACAATAGAAAGGAGATGAAATTATCTTTCAGCAAATTGGAGGTTTAGTGCCAGGAATAAAGCACCCACATAAGTTTCCTAAGAAATCACTGCCAAAAAAAAAAAAACCAACCCACTGCCATCAAGTCGATTTCAACTCATAGTAATCCTGTAGGACAGAGTAAAACTACCCTGTAGGGTTTCCAAGGCTGTTAATCTTTACAGAAGCAGACTACCATATCTTTCTTCCAAAAGGCAGCTGGTAGGTTGGAACTGCCTACCTTTTGGTCAGCAGCTGATCACTTTAATCACTGAGCCAGCAGGACTTCTTTAAAATCACTGCATTAAAGTATGTATTTACCATTTATCATCACAAACTAGTATATTTTTTAATGTAACATTAGTTTGAATCATTCAGAAAAATTAATCATTTACTCATACTTGTACCCTTTTGCACATCAATCTCTTCTTCCATTAAAAAAAAAAAACCTTGCTATGGAGGCAATTCTGACTCATACCAACCCTACAGGGTGGAGTATAACTGCCCCGTAGGCTTTCCAAGCATGTAAAGCATGGGGAAAAGGCTGCTGTTTATCTTCTGACCATGAAGCCACTGGTGCTTCAACTGTCAAACTTTCTGTTAGCAGCTGAGCACTTTAACCACTGTGCCACTAGGGCTTCTTCCTCTTCTATGAAGAGAGATTAAATACAGGAAATTCTAGGGGTACTTTCAGTTTTAAAGATACATGATTGTATAATAGGTAAGTAAAGGATAAGAATGCTTTTGTGTTCACCTCTTCACCTAAAAGTTTACTCATCATAAAGCTGGTGTGAAAATATCTCCATATCAGAGTAACAAGATTATTAACCTCTCTAAAATAAACTGTTCTACAGAATACCTTAAAAACATCTAAACATGGCAAAGTAATGTTACTTTGTTTAATAATGAAGTTTTTCTTGCTCCAAAGCATGCAAAAATATACCTATAATCACTAAATGAACTGTAATTCCACATAAGAATTTACTTTATTTAATGGTTAATCCAAGTAGTTTTGTCTTCTCAAGAGATGTAGTATTTACTATACTAAACAAGGATAAGTAACATGCAGACTGTCTTAACTCACTTTGAATTAATTTAAAAACCCTCACAGATAAAATAAACTACTAATGACATTATTATCATGGAGCTCTAGTAACACAATGGTTAAAACACTCAGCTGCTAACCAAAAAGCTGGTGGTTTGAACCCACCAGACATTCTGCAGGGAAAGATCAGACTGTATGCTTCCAGAAAGATTTATAGCCTTGGAAACCCTATGGGGCCATTCTACTCTGTCCTGTAAGGTAGCTAGGAGTTCGAATCAACTCAGTGGTAGTGGGTTTTGGTTTTGGCTTTAGACACTACTATCAGCAAGAATAATATTTTTCTAACTTTTTGGTTTCTGGAAAATCTCATTCATGCTACACCATCTTTAACAGAAAGACTTTGCCTTATCAAGTTAATGTCAAAATAATATAGCTATATTTCTTAATTATGGAAAAATGTAAATTATTCTCTTATTTCTACATATTATATTGAGTATAGTTTTGCTTCAACATATCATTATTTAAAATATCCTTTGTAATAGGAGAAAGTCTTGGTGGAGGGCAATGAATCCATACACTTTAAAAAAAAAAAGTGATTCACAACAACATGAGATGATAAAATCCATGTAAAGATCCAGGTAAACATATATTTAAAAAGAAATAGCTTACATGTCTATCACTTTAAGAGTATTCATTGCCCCAAATTAAGCCTCCCATGCAAACCCATAGCCCAGGCTTTTTCTCTTAAACTATTTACCATTAAAAAGAATCTGGAGCCTAGGATGGTAGTTAGACAACCTGGGGCATAAAAAAATCAAGATTTCCACTGTTAGCAGAAACCAAGTTTTCAATAACACAAGAAGGATCGATAAAATGTGAGAGTCAACTTAAGAGAACTCCCACTGGCCACACTGCAGTTTAGCATAATCAAACACCAATAATGATAATAATAATAATCTTTTCCTAAATTGTATTTATATTTCATAGGTGTAATACTAAATATTCATATAACTAATTCAGTCATGATAGATATAGTCATTCATTATAACAAAAGTATGGGAGTAGGTTTTAGCTTAATATTCCTTAACAACACCACATGGTGGAATTATGGTGCTTAAAGATGTATTTTATGCTGTCATTTTGAATTTCCTTATTTAGAACCTGTTGTTTGTTGTTGTTATGTGCCGTCGAGTAGGACCTGACTCATAGCAATCCCCCTTGGGTTTCCGAGGCAGTATTACTACGGAAGTAGATTGCCCCATCTTCCTTCCGAGGAGTGGCTGATGGGTTTGAACCTCCAGCCTTCTAGTTAGCAGTCAAGTGCCTTAGGCACTATGCTACCAGAGCTCCCGATTTAGAACTTGTCACACATTTATATATACAGTAAAATCTGCAAAAGATGGAACTTATGTAAGGTGGAAACCTGCCAGAGAAGGATAGAGCAAATATTTCCACTAAAACAAACAGCAGGAAAATGGTAAGACGACACTGTCAAAGACGGAAAACTTGCAAGACCTGGAAAAACATGTTATTCTCATCAAGTTTCAGTTCTCACAGGTTTCAGTTTTGGTATGCCTAAGGAGGCTCTGTGATGCAATGGTTAAGCATTCAGCTGCTAACAGAAAGGCAGGCAGTTTGAACTCATTAATGTCTCTGCAGGAGAAAGATGTGGCAGTCTGCTTCCAAATAGATTTCAGCCTCAGAAACACTATGTGGCAGTAGAACTGACTCAATACAAATGGATAGGATATGCCACAGTAGGTTTCCTCCTACCACCTCCTCTGAGCCCCTAAAGAACTTTAAAAGCACACTTATCACACTATACGAACCAGTCTCTACTATCAGTATCTAGAGAATAAAAATATTATTTTTTTTTAATCCCTAGATTCTACAGGAAAGATAATAGGAACCAGAAGGCTGGTGGTTCAAACCCACCAGCCACTCCTCAGAAAGAAGGTTGGGCAATCTACTTCCATAGGATACCGCCTCGGAAACCCCAAGGAGGGGTCGCTATGAGTCGGGTCCGACTTGACGGCACATAACAACAACAAACAAATGTATGAATAGCTATTAGATGGATGAATAGCTATTAGATGCTGTCACTTCTTATTTATTTTTGAAACAAAAGCCCAGCTACTAGCCCAAAGTCCTTGTTCTTTCCTACAGTCCAATTATATCATGAATATAACCTTTTTATAAAGTCAGGTCCCACGTAAGGGTTCATTCAATGATACCACTCAGACTTCAGCATGCAAGATACACTACAGCTAAGTTCCAGGTACTAAGTTTGTCAATAGGAGCTCTGGTAGCATAGTGCCTAAGGCAACTGACTGCTAACCAGAAGGCTGGAGGTTCAAACCCACCAGCCACTCCTCGGAAGGAAGGCTGGGCAACCTACTTCTGTAGTGATACTGCCTCAGAAACCCAAGGAGAGGTCGCTATGAGGCGGGTCTGACTCCATGACACACAATAACAACAACAACAAGATTGTAACACAGAGAGAAAAAAAAAATTCTGCGAATCTCAAAAGAGCTCACAAATAGCCTAAAACAAAATGTATCATGCTGAGAGGAAATCACATGAGCCACAAATCGAAAACCAACCCTTACCACACATAACCTACATTCTTATCCTCCCCAACACTGGTTATGACCTTTGTTATTGTTAGGTGCTGTCGAGATGGCTCCCCCTCATAGCGACCCTATATACAACAGAAACACTGCCTGGTCATGCACCATCCTCACAATCCTTGCTATACTTGAGCCTGTCATTGAAGCCACTGTGTCAATCCATATTGTTGAGGTTCTTCCCTTTTTTGCTGACCCTCCACTTTATCAAGCATGATACCATTCTCCAGGGAATGATCCCTTATAACAACGTGACCAAAGGAGGTGAGACGAAGTCTGGCCATTCTCGCTTCCAAGGAGCATTCTGGCTACACTTTTTCCAGGTCAGATTTGTTTGTACTTCTGGGGGTTTATGGTATTTTCAGTATTCTGTGCCAACATCAAAACTGAAAGGCATCAACTCTTCTTCAGTCTTCCTTATTCACTGTGCAGTTTTCACATACTTATGAGGCAACTGAAAATACCATGGTTTAGGTTAGGTGTACCTTAGTCTTTAAAGTGATATTTTTATTCCTTAAGACTTTAAATAGGTCTTTTGCTGCAGACTTGCCCAGTGCAGTATCACAGCTGATTTACTGACTGCTGCTTCCATGAGAGTTGACTGTGGATTCAAATAAAATGAAATCCCTGATGATTTCAGTCTTTTCTCCATTATCACGTTGTTTATTGTTACAATTGTGAGGATTTTCATCTTCTTTTGTTGAAGTTTAATCCATACTGAAGACTGTAGTCTTTTCTCTTCATCAGTAAGTGCTTCAAATCCTCTTCACTTTCAGCAAGCAAGGCTGTGTCATATGCATATCTCAGGTTGTTAATGAATCCTCCATTCCTGATGTCACGTTCTCCACATAGGTCAGCTTCTCAGATTTGTTCAGCACACAGACTAAGTATGGTGTGGTGGTTATGTTGTGTGTCAGCTTGGCTGGGTCTCATTGAGTGGCTGGGAAGCTGGTGATAGTTATTCCCCATGAGAAGATTGGCAATCAGCTCCACAGTGGAATCTACCACAAGCAGCTGAGTAGCTGCCTTTGGGATGTGGTCTGCTTCCT